AACACATCCGGGCGCTAAATACATCTCCTTTACCTTTACCTAAACACATCTCCTTTACCTAAACACATCTCCTACCTTTACCTAAACACATCTCCTTTACCAAAACACATCTCCTTTATCTAAACACATCTCCTTTACCAAAACACATCTCCTTTACCTTTACCAAAACACATCTCCTTTACCTAAACACATCTGATGAAAGTAGTAAAGCATCAAATGAACCGCAATGCCTCGAAGAAACAAAGATGTAATTAGGGCTGGGAAGCAATGCACAATAAAGCAGCCTTCTAATGTTGTCATCTGTTCAAATACCCTTGTGATCAATTCATGTAGGTATTTCTTTCTCTCTTTTCTTTAAACACTCATTATATTGTTGTGTTTTCTGACGCACATCATTTCTTAAATCATCAAATGACCGTAATGCCTCCGAGCAAGCAAAGATGTAAGTAGGTCTGTAGTGAAGCAATTGACAAGACTCAGGTCTAAATCAATCTGATGAAAGAAGATGGGGAAAATAGGCTTCAGGTTAAAGATGGCTGCACCTCTTTCCTTTTCTTCCTCCTCTGCCTGTATGGAAGCCCTCTCCCTCGCACATCTGTCGGCATGTATCCGCCGCTCAATCGCTCTCGCTGGGCCGCGGCAGGTCCCTAACAGCTCAGTATGGCTCTTCCATTAATCAAAGACACTTCCAGTGTCCCATTACAGAAACACTGCTACTCGGCCTGTCTGCGGCTGACAGCTCGCCAATTCATCTTCTCGCAGGAGGGAAAAAAGCCATTGTGGCACGCCGGTCGCCTTTACCTGTTCAAACGGAGGCTGTTAAGAGCACAGGAAGACCCCTCTGAAATTGTTTTCTCTAGGTCAGGCAAACAACAAAAAAGGTAAATTGCTTGTCTCAGGTAACAGACAGGGGGAGCTCGGCGGTGCGATGGGAGGGGGAGTGGGTCAGCGGCAGAATAAGAGGATGGAGATGTGTTTGTTAAGAAGCTGATTTCAATGAGGATGGAATGGGCTGTTTACTGAAACGGTTTAAGACCGACTGAGAGCTACCTAAACACATCTCCTTTACCTAAACACATCTCCTACCTTTACCTAAACACATCTCCTTTACCTAAACACATCTCCTTTACCTAAACACATCTCCTTTACCTAAACACATCTCCTTTACCAAAACACATCTCCTTTACCTAAACACATCTCCTTTACCTAAACACATCTCCTTTACCTAAACACATCTCCTTTACCTAAACACATCTCCTTTACCTAAACACATCTCCTTTACCTA